TTCATCACTTGCCACGTCCTGTTGAATCTGCACCAGTCGCTAATGCTCAGCTTGCCGTATTCAGGCCATGGTGTTAGGTTCCTTGAGTTATTGTCGGGGCGCCAATACAAAAAGGGGGGGTAGATGTGGCCAGATGGGCTACTCGCCTTTCTTTTTCTCTCTCGCTCGCTCTCTCCTGCGCTCGCTCTCTTCGCCGCGCAACTAGGTTAATTGGGAACCCACCTGCATTTTGATTGCAGGGTGGCATTAGCCCGTATAAAGCAAGCTGGTGTTTTTGTTGGATCATTCCTCCCATGCATTTGGCACAAAGCAGCAGTAAATGCTGGCCCACTGCGACGGACTGATCAGCAGGAGTCAATCATATGACAGCTACAGGTACGCTCTTGCTTAACCTCAGATTCCCTCCGAGCACTGGAATTTGTGTTAATAGTTTTTGCGGCCTGTTGTAGCACGGCAGTTTGTTTTATTCCGGCGTTGCGGAGAGAGGTGCTCGTGTTGTCCCCACCAGTGAGAGTATAGCGCCTCCGTTCCTGGGGTAAGCCGTTAAAACGACTTTTATTAGCATTCATAGCTATGAGAGTCTAAGGTTACATTTATCTGTTTTAGGGTTTGACTGCTGTATTCGCCTCTCCGTGGCAGATCGCCCTACCTAAACGGGAAGAGTGAAACGCCTTCCCAGCCGCTGTTGTGAGGACTCCTCCTCGGTGGAGCCTGCTGTCTTGTCTTGTCTTGTCTCGTCCTGTTTTGTTTTAGCTGGTCTTATCTTGTTTTTATTAAGTAGGCTTACCTTGTGTGTGTGTTTCCTTTTATTAAAGTTATTAAAGTGTGTTTTAGTTTTTTATGATCTGTAGCGAGCCTGACGCTCAGTGTCCTTTTATTCTTTTAACATATTTTTCTGTGTTATTTCAGTGAACGGAGGACGTGCCTGTGGCCCTGGGACCTCAGGTGGTGGGTCGTTTTCACACTTTCTTTTGTACAGCACCGGGTGGGCTGCAGTGATTTTCTTTTTTGTGCGATTTTCTTTTGGGTCCACGGCTGCTGGTAAGTCCAAGTTCCCTGATTGTTTTATTTTCACTGGACACTGTCAACAATGACGCTACATCTTGGGTTTTAATATTTTATTTATTTTTCCTATAAATAAACTTGTTTTAATATTGGAGCCAACCTGCCTCAGTGTGCATCCTTGAATCTGTGCGGCCTCCTTTTATTCTTTTTATTTATTTTTCTTAAATATATTTCCCCTAGGTGGCGTTGTCATTTTATTACTTTTTATCTAACCCCGCCGACCACTTGGTCACATTAACACAGTTACAAAAACTGTGTGAATATTTATATTGATTTGATCAGATCCTGAGAGTTTATAGCTCACCTGTTAAAGCAAACAGATGTAGGGTGCAGTTCTGACATCTTCTGCTGTTCTTGGCTTCACAATAATAACTCTCACTGTACTGATGTGTTTGGTAAGTCTGAGTTATCGGTGTGTGCTATCAAACAGAAATATGTCCATACGGAACCTGGTGCTTGTAGATAACAATAATTATCCTGTGATGCAGTTTAATAAGTAGAACAGGAACAGACTGTTAATGCATTTGTCAGTTTCCACTCTGATCACACTGCAGTCAGGTTCATGTCGAGTTTCTGTCAGTGTGAAAACCACAGGAAACCAATAATAGACTTAAGGCGTGACAAACTATTTACAGCAACGGAAACAAAAATGTCACCAATTAATTAAACTGTCCACATTTCCTTCATTTCTGAAGCTAAATGCAGACATACAGCACTCGATACAGAGAGAAGGACCAAAACAAATCCTCCCACTGCACCCAGTTAAACTCATGGGTGCTCCGGTCATCTGTCTATGTGACTTCAGAAGCAGTAAAACATGGCAGCAAGTAAATAATGTAACCACATGTACACACTAATAAACAATTCTACTTTGGGCGATCGTGGCTCAAGATTTGGGAGTTTGTATTGTAATCGGAAGGTTGCCTGTTCGAGCCCCGCCTCGGACAGTCTCGGTCGTTGTGTCCTTAGGCAAGACACTTCACCCGTTGCCTACTGGTGGTGGTCGTGGCGCCAGTGTCCGGCAGCCTCACCTATGTCAGTGCACCCCAGGGTGGCTGTGGCTCCAATGTAGCTTGCCATCACCTGTGATAGGTTGATTACTGAATGTGTAAAGTGCTTTGGGGTCCTTAGGGTCTAAGTAAAGCGCTATACAAATACAGGCCATTTACCATTTCAAAGGCGAAGGGAAGATCATCATCTCTAAAGAGTTGTTTACTCTTTGGTGTGCAGGCAAAAGACAGAAATCACACTTCTGAAATATGTCAGCTTCCTTCCTCTTCACAGCTTTCATGCGCACAATGAGCCAATACAAGAAAAAATGAACTTCCTGATTTAATCTGTACTGTTGAGTTGGTGATAAATGTCTGATGTTTATCACCAATACAACAGTTTCAGCTTCTTTTAAGCTGCCTTGTTGATGCAGCTCTTTGCTCTTTGATCCACATTTGAAAACCACACACACAGTTTACAGTACCATTATCATACTAGTGATCTGTTGCATTGTGAACTGAAGCGCCTGCTGCTACAGGTGATCATCATACAATAAAAATAATAAAGTTATTGTGGTGAGTAAACTGATATCTCAATCTTTATTTGCAGTCCCACTGTATTATTAACTGCTCAACTACAGGAATGCAGCTCTATTAGCATAACACCCCCAATCAGCAACAGTGACCACAGATCATTAAATGGCACAGCAGTCTCAGTCATGATGGCCATTACTCAGTACTAAACAAACAGCTGCAATTCACATGACAAATTACAAATAGCAATGAGAAATGCACACAGGGTAACTGAAATAGCTCTTAATAACACTGTGACTCAACTCATGAATGTCTGCATGAACGTCCCATGACACTTTGGGTTAGTGGCCCCCCTCCCTCAGCCACTAGAATGTTCTATAAAGAAAACTAAGTAATAATAAAAACATAAAAAATAAGAAAACAAGAAAAACAAGTTTTCTATCTGATAAAGACATCAGGGAGTAACCTGAGGTTCAGTATCATGCCCAAGGATACTTTGGCATGCAGACCGGAGAAGCCAGGGAACCAAAAACAATCGTCTCATTGTCAAATGACCTGCTCTACCTTCTGAGCAACCAAAGAGGCTTGCCTGGGATAACACATTGGACTACTGAAGACTAGAAGAAGGTATTATGGACTAATGAATGAAAACTCAAAATCTTTGGTTCATCACGCAGGATCTTGGTACGCTGCTGAGTAGACGAAAGGATGATTCCACAGTGGCTGTGTCCAAATTCAGAGGCATCCTTCGGAAACTGCATTTGTAGGCTGATTAAATCACAGTCAGGTGATGAAGGCTGTCCAAATTCGAAGGCTGCTCCAAATGCGGCCCACAAACGCATCCACCATTTCCCTGGATTTGAAGGATGGTTCGGGTGTATCCTTTATGGCCCACCCTATCCCAGGATTCATTGCGATCCATACTGGAGAATTTTGTTCTTGTAACAATGGCGGTCGAGGTGAGAGATAAAGTGAGAGAGGAGTACAATTTTAACTGCAAGTATTAAAATCTGGTGGGATAAAAGTTAAATTCTTAAAGCATTTGTGTTGTTAGGGTTTGGGAGTTTGCATAGACATGTTTTTTTGTGTTATTAATCTTTGTAAGAATCACCTCTAAACTAGCTTGTATGATGGGTCCTGTGGTTTTTCATGTATTGCCGCTTACATACAGCTAATTTAGATTTTCTCAAATTAACCTTTTTGTGATATGTTGATCACAATGATCACCTCTTCATCAGCCACTGTGGCATATAGCTACAGGACCCATTTATACATCTTATGCTTATGAGTAGTTTTAAGCCTCATGCATTACAGAACAGCATGACCCTCTCAGACCTCTCAGTGAAGCCTTCTAAAGAGAGCTACTGTAAAAAGTCTTTTAAAGACATAAATTGGCTTAAAATAAAGACAGAAGAGGAAGCCCACACACAGGCTGTATGGTTTCACTGAATTGTTTTGGTCACATGCATTTCTGCAGTGTTGGTTGTTCAAAGTAAAAATATAACTCAACTAAACCGGATGTGATGGTGGGTGCTAGTGGCTGCGTGTTGTGGCTTTTATTGGTGACTTAGAGAGCAGAAACCCACAAAGGTATCTGAGTGCAGAAAAACATAAAACACAAAATAAATAATAAGTTAAAAAAGCTGTTTTATTATTAGTTTAAACCTAACAAACCAGAAACTTGAACTTTTATTATGTTCTCACACATATTATAAATTAGGATTGAATTGTGACGATGAAAAACTGATACATTTGCATCACTGTGTGTATTAGAGGTGTGAACAGGAAGGAAGGGTGCTTTTACTAACCTGAACTCAGTTTTCTGCCTGCAGACCACATCAGAAAGGCATTTTAAGAGACAGTGTCCTTCACCTTTGTAAAGAGAATTGTTTTTTGATGTGTCTAATTCCTGGATACATTATTTACCTGCTGACATTTCTTTTCTTCTCTGAAGTCACACAGACAGATGACAGGAGCGGCTATGAGTTTAACTGCAGCACTCAGAGGAGTTTTTATCGTTCTGCTTTCTGTGTCAGGTACTGTATGTCTACAGTTGAGACCATTTGATCTTTTTGCTCTGAAAACGAACAGGTGGTTGAAATGACAAGTGAGTCGGTGATATAATAACACAAAATGTTGATCAACAGCTGCAAAACCATTTTGTAATTCTGCTGTCATTGCACTAAAACAAATTCATTTACTCCAGATACAATGGCACGTGTGTTATTATGTTTTCTGATGTGCTCTGTGTTACAGTGGTACAGAGTCAGAATGGCTGGGGAGTGACTTACACTTCTACTCAGATCTGTGCTGTAAAAGGATCATCAGTGGAGATACGCTGCACCTACACATACCCACCCAGAATAAATAATGAAACTATTGAAGTTCAGAAAAGATTATGGTTTACTAAATTGCAACAAGATGTACCTGTGGATCTAAAAACTGATCCAAACTATGACGCTCGAGTGGAGTATAATTTTTTTCGGAACAACAGCACTCTGAGAATCACAGACCTGAGAGAGAGTGACTCAGCTCAATACAAGTTCAGGTTTGAGACAAACAATCGTAGTGGACGTTATACTGGCTCTCCTGGAGTCACTTTACTTGTTACAGGTGAAAAAATTTTTTACATTGATGTTTCTATGTATCTGTAACTGTTGCATTACACATGTTTATGTTTTTTTTTTTTTCTTCCTCCAGATGCTCCAATACGCCCCTCTGTGTCAGTGACTCTCTCGGGTGAGATAGTGGAGGGCAGCTCTGTGACTCTGACCTGTAGCAGTGATGCTAACCGAGCAGCTAATTACACCTGGTACAAGGAGGATGATCAGAAACCTCTCAGTAAAGACTCCCAGCTCATCTTCAGCTCCATTCAGTCTTCTGATGCTGGAGAGTATTACTGCATAGCTGTAAACAACCTGGGGACAAAAAGGACTGGACACAATATCATCATTGTGAATTGTGGGTAAAAAAACCATTAATATTTTAAAAAATACATTTCTTCATATATTGATATTCTGGTACTGTAGTTCATTCAGTAGCTTCAGTAGATTATTACTTTATTCACTTTATTCTATTGGCTTCCAGACATGTACTGCTCAATTAACACAAAGTCAAACTGCAGGGACTTTGGTACATTTAGGAAAAAGCAACCTCTGTGAATCCTTCATGTTAGTGTTCTCGTATCTGCTGGATGCATGAGATGAAGGTGATAAAAGAGCATCAAAGAGTGTCTGGAGGTGGAGGAGCAACATTGCCAGAGAGCTATAAAATGAACCTGATTGAACTAGTCATGTGCATGTTTATGTTAACGGACAAACTGTCAGAAACAGACTGCATCAGGGTGGAGATTACAAGTCTGCACCTATAGTCAGACTTGTAATCACAGCCTACACTGTGCAGATGCACTGGCTTTAATAAGATAACACCAGAACTGGCAGGTCCACCACTGGTGATGAGACCTGACGAGAATTTACACTGAGCACGTGTGACAGAGTTTGGATTTGCTGCTTGTAATATTTATGTAAAATATCTGCCTCCTTGATTTCTTAGTTTTTTGCATTTTTGCCACACTTGTTTGTTTGTGGTCATCAAACACATTTTACCATTAGACGAATGCAAAATGCAGCTTTTAAATAGTGTTTTAATTGATTTCATTTCATTTAACCCTTTAAACCCTAACCCATCACAGGTGACGGTTAGCATTTTTAGCAAGGGTGACAACTCCAGGCCTCGAGGGCTGGTGTCCTGCAGGTTTTAGATCTCACCCTGGGTCAACACATCTGAATCAAATGATTAGTTCATTACCAGACCTCTGGAGAACTTCAAGACATGTTGAGGAGGTAATTTAACCATCTGAATCAGCTGTGTTAGATCAAGACTACAATTAAAACATGCAGGACACTGGTCCTCGAGGCCTGGAGTTGCCCACCCCTGGTTTAGGTCAGGGTTTAAAGGGTTATTAAGAGAAAAAGCTATCTAGCTATCTATGTAAGTGGTATCTTTATTCAAAAGTTCTAGAAGTGTGATAAATTAGTAACATTTTTAAAAAGAAATCTGTAAGGGGGCAAATACATTTTCATAGTATTGTGCCTGATCTCCACGTGTTAGCTAATGATATATTCACTGCTGGATAAAATCGTCAGACCCATTTTCAAACCTAACTCTGGGGCTCATAAATCAGGAGATTCAGACCATCTTTGGTCTAAAGAAAGCATTAAAAAACGACCCATGAGTGTTTGTTTAATGTGAGCTGTAGTGTTGTTGGCGAGGCATGTCGTTTTATCTTCTACTATGAAAACTCAATCATAATGTGCAATTAAACATTAAATATGTTCATGTTTCCTCCTCCAGATGCTCCAAAGCTTCCCTCTGTGTCAGTGAGTCCCTCTGCTGAGATAGTGGAGGGCAGTTCAGTGACTCTGACCTGTAGCAGTGATGCTAACCCAGCAGCTCAATATACCTGGTACAAGAACAATGATCGCAAACCTCTCAGTGAGAGCTTCCGGCTTGGGTTCAACTCCATTCAGTCCTCTGACTCTGGAGAGTATTACTGTAAAGCCAGAAACAAGCTGGGGATGAAGACGTCTAGGAACAAACTTCTTGATGTAAAATGTAAGTAAAAACATGGCTAGTTGTTCACTGTGCAGCTTCAGTAAAGCACTCTGGATTCCAAATGGCTTCTGGATATACATCCCCGAGATGTAAACCATCAGTAATACATGCAGTTAGTGCGGTTGGGTTAATTGGTCATTCTAAATTGTCCATAGGTGTGATTGTGAGTGTGAATGGCTATCTGTCTGTCCCTGCAACACCTGCCTCCTGCCCTATGGCAGCTGGGATAGGCTCCAGCCCCTTCGTGACCCTTACAAAGATAAGAGGATATATGGATGGATGGATAGATGGGTGATACTGTAATTGTCTGAATGCCACAAAACCCTCCACAACAGCACAGATTTGTTTCTGCTTTGAGCATATTTTTTGTGATTCTGGTTGAATCTGTAGGTTTCTTTTGGTTGGGTTTGGTTTCATTTGACTTTCAGAATGATAAGTAGAAGACTTTCCTATATTTACATCCTTTGTATTGATTTGAGTGGTTGAAGGACAGAAATTAGACTCTTACATGTCACGAGAGAGACCTGATTGGCAACCAAAGGATTATATAAATCCAATTACCTAATCCAACGATCACACTACATGAACATGCTTAAGTCTTCAATGGACAGGCAAACTCTCTGTGTCTTTACCTTCTTTTTCAGATGCTCCAAAGTTTCTGTCTCTATCAGTGAGTCCCTCTGATGAGATAGTGGAAGGCAGTCCTGTAAATCTGATCTGCAGCAGTGATGCTAACCCAGCAGCTAATTACACCTGGTACAAAGACAACAAAGAACTGTCAGCAAGACAACAGGGTGTTTATCACTTTATCTCCATCAGCTTGGAGGACAGTGGGGATTATTCCTGCAAGTCTGAGAATGTGCATGGAGAGGCCAACTCTACCTCTCTATCAGTGGATGTACAATGTGAGTGTTTTTTGTCAGTCTAAACTTTCAAAATACTTTTTAAGAATCTTAACAGAATTTGAATATAAATTTACACAGTTTTTAATTTACTGTTTACTAGATCCTCCGAGACTTCCCTCTGTGTCAGTGAGTCCCTCTGCTGAGATAGTGGAGGGCAGTTCAGTGACTCTGACCTGTAGCAGTGATGCTAACCCAGCAGCTAATTACACCTGGTACAAGGAGGATGATGAGTCACCAAAGGCATCAGGACAGAACTTCACCATCACTGACATCCAACCTGAACACAGTGGGAGTTATTACTGTGTTGCCCAGAACTCAAGAGGACATCAGAACTCCATCTTACAGCTGAATGTTGTGCCAGGTCAGTTTGATGCTCCTCACAGTTGAATGATGTGTGAAACTAGATGTGCAACTCAGACTTGCATCCTGTTTATTTGTCTTCTTTTTAGTGAAATCAGTAATAATCGCGAATATCATCAGGTTGAGTCTGGTGGTTCTGATGCTGATTCCTTTGCTTTTGTTGAGTATACAGATAAGGTAATATATATGTATATATAAAATCATCAGTTCCATTACTTTTCTTTTCCCCCCAACTTTATCTTTAAAGCTGCTGATTCAGTTTCAATAAAAATTGATTTGTTATTGGAATTTATCCAGGAAGAAGAAACGGGCAAACTTACATACTGGAGCAGATGGAACTGCTGATATGATGCAGGTAAGAAGTGCTACACAACAGACAGTATTTGCAGTATGAATTAAAGCCAGTAATAATTTAACCACAATGCAATACATGTTTAAAGAAGCTCTTTCTGTCTTATCATTATTTTAATCTCTCTCCATCAGTTAGATTCTCATTCTGTTTATGAGAACCTTTCAGCCTTGAAGGCCTTCACAGCAAGCACAGACAGACAAGAAGGTCCAGGAAGATCTGGAGTGAAGTCCAACTAGCTGAGAGTCCTGCATGGAAGAAACAAAATGACTCAAATCCACGTACCTCGTAAATATTATTTACTTGTTGAACCAGATTAAAAATGATTTAAAGAGAGAATTGTCATCCCTAAAGTAGTACAGGAGACTGAGGTGAGGCGGGAATGAAGTGGACACATTAAACTTTTTTCTTAAATTTAGCAACACATTTCAAAACAAATTTTGTATTAATTTTATTGCTACCGCATGATGATGCTTCACAGAGCTAATGAGATATTTGTAATACGTTTTGCTTTCTACTTTATTTGCCCTTTAGACCAGTGAGCTTTTGTTTGCTGTTAAACTGTGAGAAACAGTTTCTGCCTTCTGTTGTATACTTCTGATGTTTTTGTAAATACAAAATGTAAAGTCTTTTTTACATCAAACTCACACCATGTATCTCCCCTCCTTCTAAACAACAGCAATCTTCTTCAACTGAAGTTGTAGCATCATTTTGGTTTTCTCTAAATGCAGGGTGAAGGTTTGTAGAAAGTTTTTTTTTTCAATTTAGCTTTAGATTGTTTTAACGTTTATTTTCAGATTGCATTCTCCTATATTAAAGACAAATACAGTTTACATGTATTTTTTTCTTCTGAATCCTTCTATTTTGTCAACAGAAATATTAATTTATCCAGAGACACAGTGTGCTATGTACATCTTTGAAACCAGCGAGGCTTTATGCAGATGTAAATTATAAATTCATATACATTTGTTGCACAAAATAGTTGATGTCAATCAGAAGAGAGGTGATACCCTAATGCTGTAGCAGGTATAGTCATCCAGCTCTGATGTTTATCTGACCACTCTATTTGCATTAAATCACATATATTTGTATATATTTCCTCCATAAGCACTTCGTGAATAAAATCTCTGATATATCTTTGATATATTAAACAGGGCTAAGCATGTAAAATAAAAATGGTTCCAAAGAAATAACATTAAAATGAAGCTCCTGTCTCCTCACATCTCAACACTGTCACCAGTGCTGGTTTTTTTTTTTTCCAGTTCTCAGCTATTTGTGTCATGGTCCTGAGTCTGACGACTTAGAATAATATAAAGAAACACAAAACACTATGTTCTTGTTTATTCTGTTATGTCTTTTGTTTAGGTTTGCTATGTGTTAGGGTTTTGTTTCATGCCTGCCTGTGTTCCCTCTGTCTGTCCATGGTGTCACTGTGTCTGCTCGTGAATCTGTCTAAGTTCAGTGTCTTGTCTCTGTGTCTGTTAGTTTCCTGTTTTATTCTGAAGGTCTCTCTCATGTGAGTGTGTTCAGTTTACGTTTCCCCTGTCTCGTCAGCTGTGATTTCTCCCAGGCATGTTCCCCCCTGTCTCCCATCCCTTGATTACTGCTGTGTGTTCTTCTGCATGTTGTCGGTTCGTCTGCGTTAATCCCCTCCGTCATCCTGAGTGGTTTCCCTGCATCTGTTTGCATCTCTCTGTCCTTCACCCCGTTTGGTTATCATTTCAGGTTTGCTCTCTAGTTTTCCCAGTTTAGGTTTCCTCAGTTGCTTCTCATACCCCCGCTCCCTGTTTGTGTCATTTTGCCACTTTGAAAATAAACATTCACTCATTTCATTTCTTTCTTTATTTCACACATGGTTCAACAGTGTTTCTTTTCCTACATACAGAACCTCCTTCCCATTAATATGACACTGCACCCATGGGTGAAAAGGAGCAGGAAGAAGAATAAATTCTTGTTAGCACCTGCCCCCTATCTGCAATCCAAATATTCTTACAAGAGGGCACCAATACCCCCCAAAAAACCCTCTAACATGTATCTTTGTGTAACAATGCAAAACTAAACAAATCAATATAATCAGCAATATACAGCATTAAATGGCAATGAAAATTTTTTTCTTCCACATTTAGCCCTAATTACTTTCATGTTCTTCATACTGATTTATCCTTTTAAGTGTGTAACACATTTTAAAACGGTGCATGTTTGTACAACTCATGAGATTATCTTCAAGAGAATTCCATATTCTTATACCTTTAACTGTCAGACACATTTGCCTTTGTGTGGTCTTAGCAAACTTATGCTTAAAGTCAAACTTCCTTCTACTGTCCCCACTTCCTGAACACAATACAAACACACTTTGTAACTTAAGAGGTAATGTGTTATTTTTTGCCTTGCACATGAATAATAATGTCTGTAATTTCACTAAGTCTTCAAATTTCAACAATTTCGATTTTATAAACAAATTATTTGTATGTTCTCTATATTTAACATTATGAACCATTCGTACCACTTTCTTCTGTAGCAAGTATAGAGGATGTATATATGTCGCATATGTATTCCCCCACACCTCAGCACCATAACTGAGATAGGGAAAAATTAGGGAGAAATATAAAATACGCATTGCCTTATAATCTAATATATCTCTGACATTACCCAGAATATAAATATTTTTAACCATCTTTTTTCTAACATGTTCAATATGAGATTTCCATTTTAATTTATCATCCAATACTACCCCCAAAAAACGGAGTTCAGTAACTCTCTCAATCGGAACTCCATCAATGGACAGAATTACTTCATCCTCTTTTACCCAATTTCCAAAAATCATAAATTTCGTTTTTGTCAAGTTCAAAGATAATTTGTTTACATCAAACCATTTTTTTAGTTTTAGTTTTTTAGTATCATCTGTTTTTTGCCTGCGTTTTGGGTCCTTTAATAATTCCACACGGCTCATTAGTGTTAATTCCTCCCCGAGGGTGTCCTTTCCTCTTCATTCATGTTTTATTTGTCTTCCTCATTTAGTTATGTAACTCACTGTTTTGCTTTGAGAGTCGTTGTCCTTGTGCTTTGTTTTGTTTGTCTCATCTCTTGTGATTTAGTCCACCTGTGTCTTGTTCTCTCCAGCTCTTTTCACTTCCCCTAATTAGCCGTCTGTGTATACATTTTCGCTTTCCCCCCATATCCTATGTCAGATTGCCTGCGTATCTTCTCCAGGGCACCTTATGCTGAATGTGGGTTCAAGTTTTGGTTTTAGTAGTTAATAGTTTTCATTTTTGTTTGCCACTTTTTTAAACGTATATATTTGTGCAATCACCCCAAATAAATGACTTGCTTTTAGTTCATTCCAGTCAGCCTTTGTGTATCTGCCTTTAGATCATCATACTTATTGGACTCAACCCATGACAGGATGAAATCATTAGATCTATTTTCATAGCATTGTCCATTTTAGAACTTTTAAAGCCTTAAATCCCTTGTACACTCTACCTAGTAGAAAAACACCGTCCCTAACAATGATCCCAAAACTATATGACACAGAACGTGCATTATGGCAAGACAGGGTGAAAAAACTTCCATCAGTTTGCCTGACAACTGACTGCTGGACCTCTAGAACCACCTGCTCTTTCATGCCTGTCACTTGCCACTTTATTGAAATTTACAAGATGACACCTTTCCAGCTGGACTGCTTTGACTTCACTGACAGAAACACTGCAGAAAACCTGGTAGAGGAGCTATTAAGAGTGGTGAATGAGTGGCAAGACAGGACAAAGTGGTGTACTGTGTGAGTGATAATGCTGCAAACATCACCAAAGCCATAGAAAATTCTGAAGTGGACTCGCCACCCATGTCTGGCACATTCATTAAACCTGATTATTTAAAGATTTCCTGAAGGTAGTGAAAACAACCGTGGACAAGGTAAAGGCTATTGTGGAGTTTTTCCACAGAAGCACAGTAGCGATGCCTATGAGACTGTCCTGAGGTTTCCAGTTGTGGTTGTATAAAAGCTGCCACCTCTCCAAGCTCTGTTTTGTTCCTTGTGTGCCAAAGTCTGTTGTTATGTAAAATCCTTTTGAGAGTACGTTTGCTGATAGTAATGCCGTGACCAGTATCTGTAATACTGGTAGCTTAGCTGTAGCATTGGTAGCTAAAGTCTTCAGCTTCGACGTAACAAGGAAATGATGTCATCCGCGTAGATTCATGATTGACTCGAAATTTCAAGAAGGGTCTGGCTGGAGCCACTGGGGAGTGCCATGTTACCTCCACAGTAACTGGATGCACGTGACCTCCACAGTAGCCCTGTAGCCAGAAACACGCATGGATACCGTGGAAGTCTTGCAAGTTTATCGCAAAGGTTGGGACAGAGTCTTTCTTAAATAAATTTGCCGTTAGTAATTTCATAATTCTAGGAATCATCGAGTTTGCTTACACTGATCATGTTGGCACTTTTTTTGCATTACAACAAGGGAGCCCCGTCTCCCTCCCAATGTTTTGTCTCCAGTATCTGAACCATTTTCTGCATCTTTGTTAGAACAGTCATATGCTCTACCCTCTGTGTTCAATAAAACTGCGGCTTATGGAAAGTCCATGAAAATGACATGCCCTCACTGTGGTCTTACTCTTCATACAAAAAACTACAAGGCTCACATGATGAGGAGGTATTCCAACCAATCAATAGATGTTTTCCTGGCCAGTCATCTGCAGCATGTTTGTGTAGATGACACTACAGGGTTATTTGCTGTGCAGAGAACTGGCCATGGGTTTTCTGTGCCAGTTCACATTCAGAGGAAAACCTGGGGGATATCTCTCAATATCAGATGTGAGCTGGACGAATGTCAGCAATACCAGTTGCTGGCTCAGCGGAGCGGACTAGGCTTCAGATTATGTGAGCACCTTCGCTCACTAGATTACTGCCGAGAGGTTTTTCTGCCGAGAGGTTTTTCTTCAAGAGCATATCGTGATGGAAATGGTGAACCTGAAATTTTTTGGAGAGGCCAAAGCTGCTACATGCATAAGGAGACAGAAAGCTGCCCAGATGGCACATGCTCCACTTTGTGTGAGGGTGGATTTTGGTAGATCCTCAACACAGATCTGTGTGTCTGTATTTGAGCCTGAAATACACAGTTTCTGCCATCTTGGCAGAATATTTGTGACTTACAATGCTCTGAGGAACACCTGGCATTGTGCTTGTGCAAAGCCACA